CTAATCTCAACATACATTCTTGGGATGTAGCAGCAACCTTCTACCCCAATCCTACTCTTCACAGCATAGAACACCAGTTTTAAGTATCTGGAAGTAAACTGTCATTTTATGATCCTCAAATTACAAATGACCAATTGTGCAAAAAGAGAGGACTTCTCCAAGTCATCACAGAGGGATCTATGCTTCTTAAGCTCCCCAAACAGTCCACATCTGCCTTAATATCCAACCCTTACACTTTCTCTAGTTTGGGTATTCCTTTACATTGTAGTCAAAAAAAAAAAATACAAATGACTCAGAATGACATTTCAGGACCTAATTCGTTGATTTTTTTTCCTTTCCATTGTAGGTGTGAAAACTTATGCTGATTTGACATCACAGTAGGAGTGATTTAAAGCCTGGTAAGTAAAAAGAGTAATAAAATTAATCACAACACAACATTTGGTTCTAAAGGCAATATTAAGATATATTAGCCAAAATTGTGTACTTTCTACTTGATTTTCACCCGTGCCATTTTTCTCCCTGTGACAATTAGCCAGAAAGAAAATATGATCTGAAAATAAGCTGCTTCTGATTGTTGACTAAGCTCGATCCCTGATAACTCTCTGGATGCTTGTGTTCACTCATGTTTCTCCTCCTCTTCCAGACCCAGTGTGTTAGAGAGCCTTAATTGTCTTCAGAAGGGTTGCATGGCTGCACATTATTTCCATGTTGAATCTTTCCAGATTAAAACATAGACACTTCTGGATAAATGAAAACATGTTTTATTTACAAGTCTGTATACTGTGTACACATAAAAATATACAAAAACAAAATACAAAATATTCAAGTGCTAAAATGTGTACAAACACTTTTAAAATGCGCTTCTTGGAAAACCTCAAGCCATTAATTAGTTTGAAGAGAACACATTCTGTTTTAAAAATTATCATACAAAAAAATTCCCAAAGCCTTTAAAAAATTTCACTGGTTTCCAGTGGAAAGATTCTATACGTATTTATCTATAGCATAACAGGGTGTGTTTTGTAAACTTAGGTTTTAATGCTACTGTTGCACTTGCTTTTGTTGAAATCTATTTTCCAGAGAATTAACAAATGTTTCTTCCTTTAATCTTATAAAAGCCATGAGCAATCAACAAACTCTTCAATATTCAGAGCTATATCATGTTTCTGACTAAGTACTACACTACAGTAATGGTACTGTGAATGGTACCTTTCAATATTTTGGTTACTGTTTGTTAATGTGGCCAAGATACGTAGAATATGAGTGTGCCTGTGATGAGGGTAGAAGACTGACTTATTTTTAGCAGAAGGACATAAAATATTTGCTTCCTTCTCTTAAAAATATTAGTATTAATAACTAAAATAAAATTTATTGTAAAGCTCTCATTATAAAGATGAATGAAAAAGATAATAAAATCAACCATGTATGTAGATAAGTATATATACAATTATATAACTATCTACATGCACACTTTTATGTTAAGAATAAGAACTCTATCAGCATTCTTAATTCTTAAATGTCACTACCCTAATTTTCTAGAGAATATTCTGTTTCTTTGATTAGTGAAGGCTCCATTCATTTAACAAAACAGGAACTAAAATTTGCATTTTAATTTCTTGAGCTGCTAGAGGAAGGTTGCACACTCACCAAGTATCTAAACATACCAAGTAATAGAAATATGGAAAAAATCTCACAATGGAAATGTCCCAATATAAAAAATGTGCTGAAATGCAGGCATAGTTTACCTAACTTATTATGTCTAAACAGAGCTGCCTTGATCAGTCATAGCCATGGGGTAACATCTATCAGAAAGTCAAACAGAAGTGGACAGTGTGATGGAGCAAGTCTGGAGACTATTTTACATGTATTCTAAGAAAACCTGGTGAAACTTAATCAAGTTGCTGATGCATACCAAATTCTTTTATCATATCATATGTTATGGGAGACTGATTCCACTTGTTGTATCCAAATAATGTCCCCAGTCAATCCAGACTATATGAGTATAGTCAGCGGGCAACACTGGTTGAACTCTGTTAAAGCAGATGTACTGGTTCATAAACACAACAGAGTACACCAGGCTCTTTGACATTCAAGTCTAAAAAACATTAACGACCACCTCAGCACTACTTTTGTTCAAATAATATGGCTCCAATAGCAGAGAACTACTGGAAGGTCCAGCTTGACTGATTAAGGGACCAAGAAGTCAAGACACAAGCAAAGTACCATTTATAAATAAAAACACCTTTAGCTCAGAGACCAGGTAGAAAGAGACACAGCAATTTAGATGTACTCAAGCCCAAATTTGCCCATTAAAGCATATCTTATATGCTTACATGCAACTTGTGTTTGATCACCCTTTGTCCTTCCAGAATCTGCAACAGAGGATGTGGTAGACATAGTCAACCACATGGGCTTATTATTGCACAGAGTCAGAGAGAATCTTGAAGTGGCTGAATTGTCATTTTTGGACAACTCTAGTGTCTTTGTAGTAGGAACAATAATAATAAGAAATAATGATGTTTTTTCAAAACACTATGACATCTGTTAGTTTTCAGGGAACAAGCAGCACCGGGTAGCTTCTGGTGGCACCATGAAGATCTAACCAGAGTCCTTTCACAGAAGAGGCCAGACAGTTCTGGAAGAGCCAGAGCCAGAGTCAGAAGGAAATGATGTGGGAGGATGGTTAGTGTTGCTATTCCACAAGAACTGTTGGTTCATTTAAGGATAGTAAATGTGGTGTTGGAGTACTTAATCAGTGACTGGCAAAATATTGCTAGTTGGGACCCATTTCGTCAACACAAAAAGCAGCCATCATATTAGCTAGCATTGTGCGAGCATCTGCTAAGCTATTTAAACTTTTAAATACAAGAGTGCCTAGCCAACAGCATATTAATATGTACACCGTATTTTCTGGATATTTAACAGACTCTAATTCCCACAAGTCTTTAGGGCCATAATAAACTCAAAAAAATTAATTAAATTTCCTTTATGCTCTTGAGTCTCCTTGTAACCCTTGTAAAACCAAGAGAAGCCTTTTAAAAGTACATGTGCAGCAACAGAATAATATTTAACAACCTTTGATGTGTTTTTTTGGAGCTCTTGAATTTGAATATTTACACTGACCTCAATAAGTTATTCTCTAACCAAATTCTCAGGCCACCAAAGGATACTGACATAGTTAATAAGTATGCTTGTAAGTGAGTCTCCTTAGGACTCTAAAAAGAAACTTACTGATTATGATCATTTAAAATTGCAAAAGCTGGAAGATCTAGAAAGCTCCAAGGACCACAGAAGAAAATGCTCATCCTATACAAGCAGTACCTCCACTAGAGTTACAGAGATGATTAGACATGGCAGCATGGTGACAAGCCTGAGCTTCCACGAGTTTACATGCTTGGACCAGGCTGAGTAGATGATACTCAGTCGCTCAGAATGGGCTGTCATAACTGAAAGCTCAACTTCTCTCACTTCCCCTGCTGTAGCAAGCCACTGAGGATATCTGCAGTCCTAGTTGAACTCTGCAGGGGGCAATACCCAAACAGAAACTGGTAGTCTCTGAAAACCTGCTTCCTCAGGAAGTAATCATTAGAGCATTCCAGAAAAAAACTCATAATGAAACTTTGTTGTTCCTACAATACTTTGATAGCCACACATTTTGCAAGGGAGCAGGGTGATACATTTAACTAAACTGATACTGTTATTTTCAAAAAATCTTAACTGAGCTGCCTTGATTTGATACTCCTGTTTAGTTATGGAATTCTAAAGTGCTTCTCTTCCACTATCTTCTTAGAAACACAAACAAGAAGCACACAAGAAAGATGTGTTAATAACAGGGGGCTTGTTTAAAAATCAGAATACAGCTACACACTGGGACGAACACTTTCTCCTGCCTGTGCATCAGTCACACATAGATTCATTTTGTTAAAGAGCAATTCTGTGGCTCCATCACATTCTTAACAAAAAACATACTGGGAAAAACAAAGGTGGATTCCTAGCTGTTTTTGCTTAGAACTGGGCAACATTCAGAGCACGAGGGTCAAGTTTCTAATAGTTGAGAAAAGCCTACAAGAGCTTCCTATAGAACTGACAGGGAAGTGTGCATCATATGCAGCTCAGAGTGCATGCTTCAAAACCATTCTTTATAGATTGACAGGAACAAGGGTGTCTCATGGCTGACCAGCAGGGATGCAGTTACTGCCCAGCATGTCACTGAATATGTGAGAGCTACAGAGTGATCGGAATGCCAGGAATGTAAAGTTGAAAAGCCAGTATAGGGACACCTGACCAGTCATGACTCTGCACAGACCACCTGTACTGCCACCTGTGTGTGCTAAGTGTTGCTGGTCAGGTACAGTATGCTGCAGCCAGACAAAGCTGCTGTTCTTTGCTGCTAGAAGTTTCGTTTGACATCTTAGATTGCTTGATATTTATACTTTTGTAAGTGTGGCTTGGTTCTCAGTTGTAACATTCAGAGATCACTGGGAAGCAAAGCTGTGACGCTCTTGTTGAAAAGCATGTGCCTGACAGGATATATGGAGAAATGTCAAACACATCTGAGTGAGAATTCAGACATTCATCATAGATTCCAGGATGCTTAATGAGAAATGGATGTATAAGTGATTGCTAGCTATAGGACCTCAACTTGGATATTTCTAGATGGAAACTGTATCATCAGTAGTATCATCCCAACTTGTGGCTAGAACCAACTGTGATAAAGTGTCTCTGCTATAGAGGTTAAACATGTTTAGAGGTATCATGCCCATGAGTAAAAGTCTGCTTTCTGTGTATCTTGATTTGGCTTCTTTCTGGGTGGTTTTATAATTCCATTTCTATATTCATAGCAGTTATAGTTGCCCAAGGGCTTAAACTAGAAAAATTCTCATGGCCACTAAGTTACAGTTAAAGACAAAACATTGTCTAAATCTATCTTCAAGTATTCTTTTTTTGTGACTTTGAGGACAACAGTAGTACCTTATTGCACATCAATTCCCAAGAGTTCCATTTTAAGAGTGTGTACTGTTGGTGCTGGTTACTGGGCACCGCAGGGTCCGGAAGCCTGGCAGGACCACCTTTCCCTTGTGATGCAAATCTGCCTGGGTGCCTGTGTTAAGGCGCTGCACCAGTAGTTTTTCATAGAGCAGTGGGTGGTAGGCCCCCAAGGTGCAGGCTGCATCATAGTACAGCTCATGGTAGTGGCAAAGCTCTGTCTGCCGGACAGATGGGATGTACTCATATACGTGCACTTCTTTGCACATGGACATCATGATGAGGATTCCTGACAAGGAAGGAAATGAAAATACAGTAAGTAACTCTAAGAGCAGGTAGATCTTTTTTTGTTGTTTCATAGGCTTTTATTTATTTACTTATTTATATTGGTCCTGGAGTTGTGGTGACTGATAGAAATAACTGTGGTGAGATACACATACTTTACATTTGCAACGTTACAGCTTCCATTAAGAAGAGTGGCTAATGGGTAAATGACTACATAAAGATATAATACTTCATGTATCCATCCACTTGTTCAGTTATTACTGCAGATCTAAAACTGAGATACAAAGATAAAAATGAATATATGGAGATCTTGCTCCAATTTGTGACTTATAATGTCCAGTTTACTCTCTTGTGTTACAGTGGGCTGTTATGACAGATAACAAATGGCATAAAAATCTGATTATGAAAGTGTATTAGAAACTGACTATCAACTGTTCTTCAGATGGTTCTAAAATAGAACCTTACAGTGAAACAGCTCTATACAATGGTACTAAGATGTAGAGTGTAAGGTTTATATTAACAAAGGTGTTTGCCAGTTGTATCTGATGGGATACACTTGTAGTTTGGGCTACTTTCGAGGAAGAGGACTGCTTGGGCCCAGGATTTTGAGACAAACTTGTATTAATACAGAAGCATAATGAGTGATAAAACAGGCTGAGTTATAACAGTGATAAGTAAGTTATAATTCTCATGAAAGCTGTCATTACTGATGCAGTTTCTAGTGGAAAGCTACAAAATCCTAAATGATATGATGCTGTTGATCTTCATTCAGGCTAGTTTTTCTTTTCTTTTTTTTTTTCTTTTTTCCACTACCATCATGAGGTTTCTAAGATAGGGCCTCAGAATGTAGTAAAGATTAACCTTGAACTTCAGCTTCACCAGCTGCTGAAATTCTGGAATTAAAAGTATGTGAATCTGTGTCTGGTCAACTTGAAACTTTAAAACAAGTATATTTAACCCATTATCTGAAAGTGATATCATTACTTATGAACAAAATATAATTCATGTTATTTCTGTTACATCTAATTTGTTCTCCAGACTGTCATATTTTCTAAGAAATTAATCAAATATAGACCACAGAAATTTAAAACTAAGTCTAAAAGTAACCTGAGGGCAAGTCTGGGTTTGTTTCCACCAACAGAAAACAAAAGTAATCCCAAATCAAAAAAAAAATTGTAGGAGCATAGCTAAAGAAAGGAATGAAGTAATCTCCTTTTGTCAAGAGGGATCTAGAAATTGCTGCTGAAATGATTTCCTGGTAGAGAAATCAGATTCCGGCCAAGCAGCCCTTGTCCAGTGTTATATTCCTGCCAAGCAGCCTCAAAAGCTCTCTACCTCTCCCCCTTTTTTATTTCATACAAGACTCAGAAAAATAAATATTTAAAAAATGATACAAATCTTTGAAAAAAATTGGCTGTGAAGGGTCTCTGAGTCCTCCTGGTAATAAGGAAACATTCTGTGTTGGCAGCTAGACAAGAATTGAACAGATACTCCACAAAAGAATGACTATAGGCATACTCTGTAGACATTCTTGCTGTATTTTGGTCAGAAAGAGATTAAACAAACTACTTTTAATAGATAGTATTCTGGAGAAAACATCATTCTTTTTGCTAGTTGGCTGCTACACTTAAATTCTTATCTCCATTAAACATGGAGTGTATATTTTGCTCTCAGCATAAGCAAAAATTTATACTTTTAATATAGTAAGTTGTATAGTTTTAGTATTTTCTCATACAAACTCTTTATATCTTAAAATAACTTTGAGACCCCCAGAAACAAACACAAAAAATGATCAGTTTGTTCAAAACTGCCAAATTAAAGGTAGATGGAGGCTATCCCAGTATGGATATATGTCCTGAGTTATCTGCACAATCCCTTCTGAATAATGCCTGTCAGACAGAAATTTAACAAAAAAAAAAACTTTTCCATATCATTCTGCATTCTCATGTGAACTTGTGGCTTTCTGGGACTATTAACATACCTCAGAGTATCCTAAAATTCAAGTAATTACCAGGCTTCCCATTTGTGTGTGTGTGTGTGTGTGTGTGTGTGTGTGTGTGTGTGTGTGTGTGTATAGCAGTCAGTTGAACTATGGATATGGTAACTAATGTGGAAGTACCTTCGAGGAGAAAGATATAACTAACGGTACACCAGATACATGTGAAAGGAGAGCTGGGAGACTTAATGTCTGGAAGAAAAAGATCATTCCTTAACACCTTAAGAGTGTAGTCTTCCGCCAATCATCACAGACTTTATTTTTATTTTTATTCTTTCTTTTTCTTTTCTTTTTTCAGCCTTTTAACCTTTTAAAGGGATTGTTAATACTTAAACTTAGATTCCAGATTCAATCATAAAATAAATACTGAAAATAACATAACATGTTTAAATTCATACACCACCTCCCTAAATTACTAGTACACAGTACTAGTACAGAGCAACAAACAAAAACTGGAAGAATATACTTCTTTGTACTTTGCAGAAGGAATGAGTGAGACATCAATGGTGGAAGACAGCTCTACATAGATCAATGAATATGTATTGGGACAGGGCATTGGATATAAGGACTGAAGAGAACCAGGGCAGAACTGAAGAACAAAGCCTTTGTACTGCTACTGAAGACTACTTCAGTTAATATTCAAATGCATAAGGGCAGGTACCACGCAAATCATTAGAGCTTCAGAGAAATGCCTTTAACCAAACTAAAGAATTCATATTTACATGTAAAGGTGGGGTTAAGCCCATTTGTAAGATGACTTGGAAAAGTTTCCCAATATTATACTGAGAAAAATACTTCATTTGCACTTGAGGACTTCTCCGTAGTGCTGGGACTACTTAAGCATCTACAAATGATGTCAGAATAAAAGCTCTGGGCTACTTTGACCTCTGACTTATTAGGGTAAATTATTTTGTCACTCACACAACTCTATAGCTGATGATTCAAAAGAAAACACACATCCATTATATTACAGCAAAAAATACAAATACAAAGAAAACAAAAGCTCAGAGAAATGGAAACACAAGCTTCTGTCACTTCACACAGGATGATCTTCACTCTCCCAGTAGTCTCCCTGCTGGAGACTGAAGGCATCCCCTTGAAATTCCTCTGTTGAGATACTCATTCTCATTTTTTTGATGGTGACAGAGAGATTACGTTAGTAAATTATAAAGGCTGAGTCTTCATTAACAGCAGCAGTGACTTTTTAAAACACAGCAAAAAAAGAGGATCTATCCCTATTATCATGTGCATACAGAAGAGGAAGGCAGGCAGGAAGTCTTTACCAGGAAATTGACCAGTCAGAACCTTGATCTTGCACTTTTAATTTTCAGAACTATGGCAGAGACACTTCTTGTGCCTAGAGAACAGACACTATGTTATTTCTGTTACAGCAAGTTGAATTGAAAGAGGTAGCACTGCATCTGGAACGCTAAGTAGGGAAGCATGTTGATGCTTGGCATTCAGGGATTCATTGGGAGTGGATAACCACAGGTTTCTGCTTGACATGTTCCAAAATTTCAAACTTACCAAAAGAAAGTGTTGCCCATGACCAGCACAGGGTCACAAGCTCAGTGGATAGCACTCTCCCCTTAGCCCAAGTTCCTAGACTGCAGTTAAAAATAATCAAGCACAGATTTTGAGTACAGATAACATAGACATTAAATTTAAATATCACTTTGTAACCATTTCTCTACACTGAACTGACATTGGAAACTACTATTTGGTTATGCTAAATATGTTATTCATTTTATTTTATTCTTTTTTTTTCTGATAATGAGATGAATGTAAAAATAATTGAAGAGTACAACAAAACAACCACAACAACAAGATCAGAACCCAAGTTCCTTAGGTTGGCTAGTATTAAACAATTCTGTAGCTAGTAACTTCTTTCAATTACTTAAAGAATGTTTCTATTAAATAGTGTTGTTTACCAACTACCAAACATTAGCTTCCTTTATAACTCACAGAAGTCTTAATGGTTTCAACCTGGAGCTGAAATTTTCCAAGACAAGTATCTAAATGTTTTGTATGTATTTCCAAAGCTAATCAAATGAACATGTGGTCAGCTGCTTGAAATCTTAAAAAAAAATTCAACTCATGATTTTATTTATACAGCCAAGTTTATTTTTCAGATAACTCCTTCTGAGGGATTTATCTGAACAAAAAATATTAGTATGTTGTAGGAAGTTATGACTCAAGTGGCACTCATTTGCCAAACTGTAGTTTTTAATATTGTATATAGCAATAAAATTATCAAACCAATTAAAAAGCATTGTAATCAGTCTTAATAAAATGGCATGGTATGTGACTCAGCATGAAAAGCAGATGGGTACTTATTTGCTATGAAAGCTGAAGCAAATGCAAAGTCAACAAACACTTAACTTATATTATATCAAGCTCTGAAAGAATGAGGTGCTATCTATAAAGCTTCATGGGCATGATACATTTCACATGATTCACTACAAAAATGAGGCAGCTTCATGGGCATGCATAAATACATGTGACACACTATGGGAGTCAAAAGTGTGATGGCCACGCATATGCACATGATAAATTATAGGAGAGTCATGCAGTTCTGTGGGCATGCATGCATGCCCATTGTGGAAGAAACTCAGGTAACCACTTAGCATAAAGCAGATTTGAGTCAACAAAAATTATGCTGCATTTACCTGGCAGACTATTTAACATAGGCCAACTCTTGTTATAAACATCTTTTCAAATAGCAAAATGAGCTATTGGTACAAAACAGCAAAATGAAAAATAACAGCAAAAAATCAGTTTAAGTCACCTTTAATTAACACTTATCTGTGTAAGTCATTAGGAATTTTTGATTATGACCAACACAACAAGAGATACACAGTCTAAATGGGTGGAGAGTATAAACAGGGTAGGGGTACTGAAACATGACAGGCTAAAGGAAACCTTGCACCCATTTTGTGAGTCTATCCATACATTCGATCATGAAATGGAACACTTAACAGGACTACTTCTAATTTCTTCAAAAGAAT